CAGAAGTGCTTTAGAAAATGTGCACAATGTCTTTCTTTCCGCTCTTGCAGGTCATCTAGAAAGGCGCGAGATAGACTTCAGTAATGAAAAGCAGCCAAATGTGTGAACTGGCTCTATTGAAAAATGTTAGCCTTCAGTGGGAGGTGAGGGAATAGCAAAGTAGCAGTTGCATTGTGACACAGGAAAATCCATATGATGGTGTAATCATCAAGTGAGCAGCATAAGTGTGAGAATCATCTCAGTAGGGGCAGGATTTCTAGTAAGTCTTCCGTGCCAGGCAACTGAGACCTGCTTTTTCTCCAGAATGGATCACAAGAGGAGGGAACCCAGAATATCCCTTTCAAAAGCCAACATGCTTCTTCAGCCCAGCCACACGGGTGGGGTGTCCATGGCTTCAGAGCCACTTGTAATATTTATAGCTTAGTCAAAGCCTGGCTGAGTGATGGGGGGGGGCAGTAAAAGAGGCAAAGCGAGTGGCAGGAATTTCCTAATACCTCAGGGAAACACAGACAGGATCATTCCACAACTCTCAACTCCCTCGCCCAGCCATTCAAAGCAGCTGGCTAAGTCTCTGTGGCTGGCAGCTTAACTCCTCTCCTGGTTCCTGTGGGGTAGGGGAGTAAAACAGGACACAGATTCAGAGACTTAGAGTCAGTTTGCCGGGGGAACGAACGAGGCACAGGAGGAGAGGGAATAAGGTGGAAATTGGCCAGAGCCCAGGTAAGCACTCCTGTTTGGGCTTAATGAAAATAGAAAGGAGAAGGTCCAAAGGGGGTTTTTGGAGGGGCATTTCAGAGCTTTGGGCTCAGGTGCCTGAGCCAGGGCAGAAGTTCAGGCTCTGTCTTTGGAAAGAAGTCCAAGGACAGATGCCAACTCAATTTTATTCCATTTTTCAGAAGGTGGCGTAGATGTGTGTCTCTGTGTGTGCACCTGCATGTGCTGTGTCAAGGGAGGGGGGGGGGACAGGCGGAATGAAAACAACCTTCCCTCTTTGTAAATGTTTTCAAAACGCTTTTCCCTCCGTGTTCTTGAGTCAGATCATCTGTTTTCAACAGTTTCCAGAGACTGCACCAAACCCTCTTGCTCTCCCTGCCTTGGGGATTTGGGAAGCTTTGATTGCCCATCAAAATAAACAAATGAGAGGAGGGAGGGAATGAGGGAGGGAGGAGGGGAAGTGAGAGATGTGGATCCAGCTATAGGCGTGTTCCACAAATTGAAAAAAGAAAGCCCCCACAGGAGAATTTTTCCGGGGATTCGTTAGGGGAAGAAAAGAGAAAGGGTGATGGTGGTGAGAAAGGCATTCCTTTTTCGATTGAGAAATACTGCCCATTAAGAGCCAAATCCCCGCACTGCAAAACTGCCCCCTGGGTGAACCTGGAAGAGCAGCAGGAGCTGTGGACAGACGGTATACTTTCCTCCCCTCATGTTTGGGACCTGAAGGGCAGGGAAGGACCTGTTGTGGTGGTGCCTCGTATAAGCATCAGAGGACAAAAACTGATGACCATCAGGGGGCTTCTAATGAAGACACACAGAGACATGGTTCGCCCCACACATGTCCTTTAGATCAAAATGTAATTAAATCCCACCACCCCCTCAACCTTCTTTCATTCTTTTTCTCTTCAGCTGCTGGATTATTAGGATTTCTGTACAAATTCCTTCCCTCTGCCGCCCCCCCATCCACTCCTTTCCCCCCCCTCCCCCAGGGGCATCTCCAATGCAGGGATTACATCTCCTTGTCATGGAGGGAGAGACGGGAAGGGAAATTTGTCAGTGCAAAAGCCCCCACAGCCACACTAATTTTATTTACTTACTTCCCTCCCCCCCCCCAATTGCAGAGCACTGATTTCAGCAAGTCAAACAGTGTGTATATACAGCAACCCCACAAGCTGAGCCTAGAGGAGTTTCTATGTTAGATGACGGATTGAGAGCTCATTAGGGCTTTAGTCTTTGAACTTCTTATGAACGCTGTGAATTTATGAAGCGTTATCTCCATAAACCTTGTACTGGTTTGCACATCAGATACACCCTTGGCTTCCCCCTCTCTTCTACTTGATGGCTGTATGCTGATGGCAACGAAATATTTTGAAGAGCATTTGGAGTGATGTGAACATTCTGCAATAATCCAGCAAGTCAATATTTTTGGCCATGAAATAGTGAAAGAGCCGATCATGGGTCCATCAAACTCAATGCAGTCTGTGCACATAAAATAAGCCTATCTCAACCCCACCAAGAAATGGGTTTGAATGTGAGACCTCCTGAGCACATGCTGGCATAGGAGAAGCTGCTAAGAAGATAAGCAACAGAATGGCTTGCTCTTATCCAATCACATTTAGGAAGCCAAGAAGGTCACGGTATAAGGTTTTGCTTTCAGACTGATAAAAGGGTCATTGGAATATAGTAACATAACCATGCAAATGATCAACCTTGGTCTGAACATACAGTAATGCATGGCTGGGAGATTCCCATGTTTCCTAAACCATTTTTACTGCTTCCCACTGTGCAAACAGGTAACTGTCAAAAGTTCTTCACTTAATCCCAGAAGAGTGGACAAAAGCTACTTCAGATCTTTCTGTGTCATCAATGTCTTCTTCCCGATAAACTCATTTTGGTTCCATTTTGTTGCCTGTAACCTACATATCTTCCCTCTGGATTGCATGTTTGTCACAAGGACAGTGTTTCTCCACTTATAGAATGGTGATTTGACAAATGTAAGAGCCCTTTCTTCAAATTTATTGCAGTTGCAATTTTGGTATAAAATCTGGTAGTGATTTAATAAGAGTTTACTAGATACCTAATAACCAAGAGCGGCGGTTTAAACTTTTCCAATCATAAACTTCCAATCATAAACTTCCTGACAGTTAGAACAATTAACCAGTGGAACAACCTGCCTCCAGAAGTGGTGAATGCTCCAACACTGGAAGTTTTAAGAAGAGACTGGACAGCCATTTGTCTGAAATGGTATAGGGTTTCCTGCCTGAGCAGAGGGTTGGACTAGATGACCTCTAAGGTCCCTTCCAACTACTACTACTACTACTACTACTACTACTACTACTACTACTACTACTTATTATTATTATTATTATTATTATTATTATTATTATTATTATTATTATTATTATTATTATTATTTTCATTCACAAATCTTCTCTTACATTATGTTAAAAACATTTGAGGATCATACACTTTCCTGCTTACAAAATTTCCACAGTACTTCACTGAAGTAGCCATTTTTAAAGCAAAAAATACCTTAAGCAATAAAATTCACTAATCCTGTTTGTTATTTAAATACATCCTCCTGCACTTAATGTGATTGTGCGACAAAAGCTAACATTTGCAGAGGATAATATTCTCTTGAACTGTATACCTAATACATGGAATTTGACAACTGGACAATGTAAATGGATTCTCTGTGCCTTTACTATGGCTAAAAGACTGATTTTGCAACATTGGAAAGATAAATGTATGGTCCCATTCACTCAGTGGACTGAAGAATTACATTTGCCACCTGTGAGTGGATTGCCTATAGACAGATTTTATGTGGACAATATAATGAAAGATGGAACTCATTTTTACAAGTTACAGTAGGTTAAAAAGACTGATAGTTACATAAATATATTAGAAGTTAACATAGATTACTAGAAAATATTTACATTAGGTAGCTATATAGTCATAACTGTTAATTACTATANCCTTAGTTCTAGATTGCTTCTCTCCTTGATTAGTTTCCACCCGTTGCTTCTTGTCCTGCCTTCAGGCGCTTTGGAGAATAGCTTGACTCCCTCTTCTTTATGGCAACCCCTGAGATATTGGAAGACTGCTATCATGTCCCCCCTCGTCCTTCTCTTCATTAAACTAGACATACCCAATTCCAGCAGCCGTTCCTTATATATATTGTTTCTTTTCTTTTTTCTTCTGTTGTATTTCTTCATCTTTTTAAGCACTTTGTATGCATAGTTTTCTATGTATTATAATTGTCTTTGTGTTTTGCTGCTTTTCTTCTTTTTCTGTTATTTCTTAAAAAGCACTAAAACAAACAAACAAACAAACAAACAAGCATTTTCTCCATTTCATACTTCATCCTAGCTTGCTTTCCTTCTTCAGCAGCACTGGGGGAGTACTTTCAAAAGGGTACCTTGTCCTTTGGCTGGGTACCGATTTCCCAGAACGATTGCTTATAATTGGTGTCAAAAGCCTACATTCAATAAAGACTACAGCATCGTTTAGAAGGCACTTTCCACCATCTGCCCAAGGGCATAAACATAATGAGATAGAGCACGTGGCTGCCTTGCAGCCCATAGTCACATAATCGTGGGCTCCTTCTTGCTTCATTCCTTGCTCCATATCTTCAACACATTTGGTCAATAGGAAACGTAGTGGAGGAATGGTGCAGAAAGAAGGAGAGAGCAAGTAAAAGATGTACTGTTTCCCCCACCCCTGAGTTAATCATTGCCTTAGGTTGTAGGAATGGCAAGGTCACTTCTCCCAGCCTCCACTTCAGACATCACATCACCTGTAAGGAGGCTGGGCCTTGGAGTGGATGTGGTGCTCCTTGCGGTCCTAGTGGCTTCTACGGGGTTTTCTGTTGGTCATTCTCTTTGTCTTCTCCTAAGTGCTGCCTATGGCTGTGATGCCAGCAGGGAAACAGCAGCTGGATGGATTTCCTTCTTCTTTTCCCTCTAGTGCTCTCAGTTGCCATAGCCTGGGGGGGTATTAATGCCTGAGCATTCTCATCACTGGGGACCCATCTGAGCACTTTGGCTGGGAGTCCAGAGATCTCTAGCGATGTCTCCTTATCTGCTAATTTTCTGTGGGTACCTATAAAAAAGCCGTCATTCTGAATGTCAGGTTCCATCTATAGGTTCTCTTCCAGATACCTGATAATCATATGATTTTTGTTCTGCTTTTATCTTCCAGATTAGCCAAATTACTGTTCAGACCTCCAAGTATATGTGCCAGTTCCTCTGACAAGCACAAACACCATGGGGAAAACAGCAAATATTATGTTGTCTATGAATGGTGGCTACTGGTGGAGCAACAGACTTTCTCTGAGATGGAGAAAAACTAGCTGTAAGTATTATTGTAATACTTACCAGTTACTACTTTTTAGATGAAGGTAAAGGAAAATAGCCTGGTTTTATAGTAACAGTGAACAGTATCCAGACCTTATATATTCTTTGGGACTTTGCATACATGCTGTAAAATATAACTTTAGAAAAAGAAGCTGCAGAATATTTGCCTGAATGAATTAGAAAGAGAGAAAATGTTCCCATCTTGTTCCTAATACCCAAAATAAGTGCAACCGACATGTTCTATCACCTTTCATAATGATGTTATTTTTAAAACATTTACTGGGCCATTTCACCAGTAGTTGATATTTTGCATTAGCCCTATACATTTTTATCATAGAAGAGAATGCCTAGTTTCAGGAAAAGGCTAAATGCATCATTTTTATCATAATGATGGATATCCAATCATTCAAATCTCATAAATTCCATGTGGTCATAAGAGTCGTACCCTCTTTGCTCACAAGCCATTCAAATCAAATAGGTACAGTTCTAAGGACTGTGAGCATTTTGTAATATATATATAAAAGCTTTTTCTCTTGCCTGTTTAAAAAACGCAAAAGACCAAAAAGACACTTGGTATCACTTATGACATGTTATAATTTGTGAGCTCAGAGAAATGATTTGAAGAAAGAAGTAAAATAAAGTAAAGAAGAAAAGTAAGTCACCAGTAACTGGTGAGTCCAATCAAATATTTTCAAGCATTCTATATTTCCATTTGCAACACAATCACCACCAAATTAGTTTATATTATTGACTGACTTATGATGAGTTCCAGCTAGAATATCAACTCTAAGGGATCTTCCTCAAAGTGATGTTAACATGCATTCTTCCACTCCTTGTGTCAGCAGAAAAGTATAGCAATAATACTTAGACTTATATACTGCTTCATAGTGCTTTACAGTACTCTCTAAATCAGGGGTCCCCAACTCCCAGTCCCTGGACCAGTGCTGGGCTGCGGCATGCCAGCAACTGGGTTGCACAAACAAGCAAAGCCCCACCCACAGGATGCAGGCAGTACACAAAACCACACACCCTCCAGTCCACGGAAAAACCTCTCTCCAAGGAACCGGTCCCTGATGCCCAAAAGGTTGGGGACCTCTGCTCTAAATGGTTTCTAGAGTCAGTATATTGCCCCCAACACAGTAGGTTGACATAAACTGCATTGCCCCTGTGGCCAAGCTTAACGTTAGCAAGGAGGCTGATAAATGGTGCTGTTCTGACAAATTTAATGGGCAGTTTTAGGACAGCAATTGGTGGATTTCCTCATGTTTTATTTATTTATTTTATTAAGTTTGTTTGCCTCCCATGTCACTGCAAGAAGATTTTGTCATTACCTGTCAGTGGCAAAAACAACCATTAGTTGTGTGTGCTTAATGGTTAACAGTTAGATGGATGTCTAGGACAATGTTTAACTTGAGTAATAGATGACTGACAAGAAGATATTTTACTCAGCCTTTCAGTTGGGTTATTTATGAATATGGTTCTTGCACTCTTCTGAAAGAGGCCAGTGTTTAATTTAATAACAACAACAACAACAACAACAACAACAATAATAATAATAATAATAATAATAATAATAATAATAATAATAATAATAATAAAAGTTGGAAGGGACCTTGGAGGTCATCTAGTCCAACCCCCTGCTCAGGCAGGAAGCCCTATACCATTTTAGTGTTGGAGCATTCACAACTCCTGGAGGCAGGTTGTTCCACTGATTAATTGTTCTCACTGTCAAGAAATTTCTCCTTAGTTCTAGATTGCTTCTCTCTTTGGTTAATTTCCATCCATTGCTTCTTGTCCTGCCTTCAGGCGCCTTGGAAAATAGCTTGACTCCCTCTTCTTTGTGGCAGCCCCTGAGATATTGGAACATTGCTATCATGTCCCCCCTCGTCCTTCTCGTCATTAAACTAGACATACCCAATTCCAGCAACCGTTCCTTATATGTTTTAGCCTCCAGTCCCCTAATCATCTTTATTGCTCTTCTCTGTACTCTTTCTAGAGTCTCAACATCTTTTTTACAGTATATCATGGTGATCAAAACTGGATGCAGTATTCCAAGTGTGGCCTTACCAAGGCATTGTAAAGTGGTATTAATACTTCACGTGATCTTGATTCTATCCCTCTGTTAATGCAGCCTAGCACTGTGTTGGCTTTTTTGGCAGCTGCAGCACACTGCTGGCTCATATTTAAGTGATTGTCCACTAGGATTCCGAGATCCTATTTAAACAACAGCTTGGTAATCTTTTGGAAGAATGCCAAACCCATGTCTAAAAAACCATCCTAACTGATAGATCAGTTGCTTGCTGAGGGGCATAAGCTGAAATGGGTGGGAGTGCACTGACAGAGCTCCCTGCCACCCTAGTGCTCTAAACTTGAAAGCTATGTTTAAGAAAACACACTTAGCACTCTTTCAAAACAGTGCTTGTCCATGAAAAAGTTAAGTTAAAAGCATTTAAATAAATGGTTCAGGATCCTATACTCTATACTAAAATAGGGAGTATAGAGGTTTCACGTACCTATTGGAAGCGGGGTAGATCCCAGTTCCTGACTATATAATCAACTACATAGTCAGTGAAGAATTGCAGATGGTGATCTCACTCAAAATTGTGTTGGAAGAACAAGGAAAACTGCATTTTAAAACTGGAACAGCTAAACATAAATTTAATCTGTCTCTCTGGCAGGTTGAGGATGAGGCCAAAGTGTCCTTTAAAAATGGCCACCTCTGTGCTGTAGTTAAAAGGATAAAGAGTCCAAATCTGAAAACACTTTGTGTCCAATACAGAAATAGAAGCTTAATAAACTTCAGTGAACTATCCGTCTCTGTAGCATGTTATGAAAAGGGTTCATTAATGAGGATGCATGCAGTTAAGCTAAGCAGGGGGTAGTGACACTCATCCAAACCTACATCTGGGGGTCAAGTGCAATATGTCAATAAAAGTTGCTGAGAAAATGGTTTCTTTTCACCTACCTTTGTTAAACACCCTTGCTTCCTAGATTGCTATTATAAATTATTTACCCTAAATGCTACTGAGCTCTAGCCTAATCTTATACTTCTGGATCATCTTACTAGAGTCCTGAACATCCTACAAAGTAACATGATCTTTTCTTGACATAAGAGCATACACTATGCATGACTGTTTCTCTTAAACTATTGTTCCGTAACTCTTGCTGGCTTTCATGGGATGAAAAACTATCTAGCTGCTCTGCTGAACATCCATAAAAAAATGTCTTTTGAGATCTTGATACTTGTACCTTCTGTCCTTTGCAAACAACCACATGCCTTACTCATGTTTTTCTTGGCACTTCTGTTTCCTCAGCAACATAAGTAATTGAAGTCTTTTCTTTCTCTTGGCTATCTCTTTCACCAGGACAGTTTTGGTGTATATCTAATTCTTAAGCTGAAATTTTCAGTTGTTTAGAAGTAGCACCATTGCATCATTTTGAATAATGGTATTTCAAAAGAGTTCTGTCACAGTCTAACAGAAAGAGGGGCATTTGATTAAATGCGCGTAGAAGAGTAATGCATTTCCGTGATATATTCCCACCTTTCTGTGTACACAAAAGCATTAAATGTTCTCCCGTCATCAGAAATATCACTGTATTATTATTAATATGGTACTTCTGTCAGGCGTCCAAAAGCAGGATGATTTTAATAACATATGTCACTTTTCCTTCCTCTTTGGTCTATCAGGCATAATCCTACATTAGAATGAGATGTTCTAAGAGGAATTAAATTCTCTAATCAAAGAGTATCAACTATGGTGCCAACATACAGAATGCATCAAAATATTTCTACCGCTGCTTGTGATCTCTACAATAAGCAGGAAGATAGTTATGAAGACTGCTTTGTAGCCTTTTCTAATTTTGATGTGACAGATTAAACCCTAATTTTCTTATGATACTGGTATAGGAGCACCAGGTAGTTTTGGATTGAATTCACTATAGAATCATAGCAATGAATTATGTATTAATGTTCAGTTCCATATTAACTGATTCTAGATTTAATCTAAATCAAAACCGATATCTTTACAAAAAAAAAAGTAGTAGTTTCTGGTGCATTTAATTCACTTTTCTTGTAAGTAAGACCAGATGGATAGAATGGTTTTTTTTCCCCTTGAGTTGTGCCATTTAATTATGGGAATCTGATGTGAGGCCTTTATTTGTTGGTTGGTTACACTTTTATTTTATTTTTTTATAAAGATTTTATTGGTTTTTTTCCCCTCATAAACATATGTTAATTTTTCCAATCAACAAGTTGTCTGGAATTAGCTATGCTAATACATGTTCAATTCCTACTCCTTTATTCTTTCCTCTAGCCAACAATAAAATAAGTCCCAAGTTTGATAATAGTCTGTATCTTCTTTATCTTTCAACCTCATAGTTAATCTGTCCATCTCTGCACATTCCAATATTTTCCTGATTATTTCTTCTTCTGATGGCAATCCTTCATTCTTCCAGTATTGTGCAAAAATTATTCTCGCTGCTGTGGTGATGTGTAAGATTAAATATAATTGGTTACACTTTTAGAATACAGCACTACTGTATTTCACCTGCAGCAAATGATGCCATGCTTAATGTCTTGGGTGCTTGTGTAATGTTTTAACATTTGCTTATACTAGTTATTCATGATATACTTTTGTAATTTGTAAGTACTGAGGGCTGTTTGGGCACATTGAATTTAGACGAGTTAAACAAAAGATAGTAAATAAAACGACTGTTGTAGTCAATCAAATGTATAATAAATCCCATTGAAAAAATAACAACCCATTGAATGGATAATTCATGTTCTAAATTATCTTAAGATAATATCTAATTAAATATAAGCAAATATATTATTTATAAACACTAATGGTCTAGCAAGTTCTCTTTTATAGCTCTGGATTATCTTCCACTCATGCTTAATTCCATGGTGTCTAGGATGCTGGACACTATGGTATCAGGCAGAAAAAATCTCTGGGGAAGTATGACCTTTCTTTTTCACAGTGTGAGGATGTTTATTCTTTAGCACCAGTAGCTCGTCAAAAGCTAAAAGGAAGCTCACACTGAGGGAATCCATCTGGCTGCCCAAGGATTAATCTGTGAAAAAGCTCATTTGGCTACCATTCAACTCATAATGCTCCTTTCAAAGAGAAAGAGAGAAGGAAGGAGGCATTAAGGCCAACAAGAAACCGCCCTAGAACACAATGCAACTGGTTCTAGAACTCTTTGAATCAAGAGTATTAAAATCCATCCTCTACCCATCAGGGGTAGGCAACCTTGGCTCTTTTATGACTCATGGACCTCAACTCCCAGAATTCCTGAGCCAGCATAGAATTCTGGGATTTAAAGTCCATGAGTCATAAAAGAGCCAAGGTTGCCTACCCCTGCTCTAGGTTAGTAGATGGAATTCTACTGTGATGGAGACACTTGTGCATCTGGTTGCAAGATAAGGTAGCATTAATAGGTGAAACTGTGGTTACATGCAGTCACGGAAGATGCCTCAATATATTGTGCTTGGTTTTCCTCTTCTCTTGTGCAGTGTTTGCCTGTTGGCTTTCGTTTTGCGCAGCAGAGAGCTTCATCACATGTCCCTCCTCTTGTAAGTGCAACAGTGGTACCCTGGAAGTGGACTGTAGTGGTTTAGGCCTTTCATCCATTCCCTTGGACATTCCTACTAGTACCAGGACCTTCCTTTTCCTTAACAATCAACTCAGCACCTTGTCAGAACAAGCTTTTTCCAATTTTTCTGCTCTTCAGAGACTGGATCTTTCCAACAATTTCTTAGATCAACTTCCTGAGAATGTTTTCAGAGACCTAGTTAATCTTACTGAACTACAGCTGAGGAATAATAGCATCAGAAGTTTGGACAAAGATCTTCTGCAGAACACTGTTCTTTTGCATCAGTTGGATCTCTCCATTAATGGACTTGCTCAAATTCCCTCAGGAATTTTTGATGATTTGCCTTCTCTTCGCTGGCTTTCTCTCCGATCAAACCGTCTGCAGAATTTGGACAGGGTAACTTTTGAGCCATTAATCAGCCTACAACAGTTACATGTGGGAGATAATCCATGGGAATGTGACTGTAATTTGAGAGATTTTAAATATTGGATGGAATGGTTCTCTTATCGAGGTAGGTACATTAAAGATTGGTCTAAATTGAGGGTTATTTTTTGCTAGTTTACTATGGATTACCAGAAAGAAAAATTAGTCAGATATGCAAACTTCAGATCTTGGGCTAGTAGGATAGTTACAGTGCATAATTTGACTTCGTTAATGATACTGTAGTGTTTTGTAGTTGGATTAGGCAGAGATATTTGCTTAGCCAAAGTCATTCAGCTTCCTGGAAGTGAGTTTATTTTCAATGGATCAAGATGGGGAGGGTATCCAATCCGTTTCAATCATTCCGGAGTTTCTAAACACACTGTTGCAAATGCAGAAGAACTGAACACAAACCAAAGCTGGGATAAAGCTCAACATTTGAGCTTCAAAGACAACAATTTAGTTTTACCACTTGTATGCAAGAGGCTTGTAATGAAACTTAATCTTGGATTGTTTAATAGAGAGTCATGGCTTCAGTAGGACCTGACACTGGTTACCCTTAGGCATTTAGATTCTCTCATCTTTAAAATCGATCAACAGTGTATAACTGGGTGGTCCATAATTATTCACTAGATTAGTTGAGAATATTATTAATATTTGTGGTGGGAAATATTAAGCGTTTGTTAATGGTACTGCCAAGTATTCTTTTTGATACATGCTGTTTAGTGGCTTCCCTTTTAAAAACTGATATTAATAATTAGTATTCAAATCTTCTGAGTCACCTTGAAAGTATGTTTTACCAGAATCATCACTGATACAAATTTATGTAGTAAATTCCTCACATTGTACTGTAGAAAGTTAGATGTTTCTACTGATTATTGTCCATTGGTTGCCAATTCATTTATAGACTGGCCTTAACTTTTATAGGCACTCAAAGTCCATTTCTAACTATACATACACCTAACTCTAGATCTGGAATTCTTGAGTGGACAAAGACACTGTCATTTTAATTGTGATAATGTTGTCATTGATAGTCCTCCTAATAAAGTCCAGTTAGCATTGTGACAGCTCACATCTTGATTTTTTGAATCAAAAGTTGGAGAGAGCCACTTCACCCATCTACTTCATCTGCCTGGTCATAGTACAATCAGAATTTAACATTCTTAATCAATGTTCACCCAGCACCTGCTTGAACTTAGCCATTGAAGCTCATAATGTGTCTAAGTAATTGGCCACTCTCTTTTAAAGCTTTTTCGTGTTGTTCTAGAATGTTTGTGGCTGCTGCTGCTGAAGCATTACGTTTCTTGCTTTTTATTTACCTTTTAATCATTTTTGGAAGTTTTGGTTATTTACGTTTATTGTTACACACTTTGAACATGAGGGAAAACCCAGCTTAAAGTGCAAGGTTTCCAAAAAGCTTTTTGCTTTAATAATTTGTTTCGCAATCCTGACTTTCTTGATATGCTAATGTAGCTACTCTTTAGGTAAGCAACAGTGGGCCACTCCAATATTGAAGAATTCAGCCACAACAGCTCCACTGAAATGCATTATTATACTGAGACCACAGTACGGTCTTACATGAGGATAGGGAACTAAGCTTTTTTTTCTCTCTCTCTCTCTCTTATGGGATAGGAGGAAAGATAGACCAGCTGGCATGTACTTTGCCTAAGGAGCTGCGGGGGAAGGATATGCGCTTGGTACCCATGGAGATGTTTAACTACTGTTCCCAGCTGGAGGATGAGAACAGCTCTACTGTGCTGGACAATATTGGTCCTCCTTGCACTAAGGGAAGTCAAACTGCTCCCAAACCCAAAACAAGTCCTGAAACAGAAGAGGAGCCCAGCGTGGGTTGTCCCCAGAAGCAAAAGCCACGACCCATCAGTGTGCGTCGAGCCATTGGCACAGTCATCATTGCTGGGGTAGTTTGTGGCATTGTGTGTATCATGATGGTGGTGGCGGCAGCCTATGGCTGTATCTATGCATCTCTCATGGCTAAGTACCATCGGGAGCTGAAGAAGAGGCAGCCATTAATGGGTGATACAGAGGGAGAACACGAGGAACAAAAACAGATCTCCTCTGTGGCGTGAATCTTCTTGGAAATTTGAAGCAGAATAGGATACAGCCAAGACTTAAGAATACTTCCTCCCAGGTGAGCAGATGGACTGTGCAATTATCCCATTGGTCCAATTAGTAAAATGTGTTTATGGATTCAGGATACCTGGCCCTGGGTTCATGTTCACTTTCCTTTGTTCTCATGGAACTCCAGGTGAATAAAAGATGTCTTCTCTTTGCACCAGATTTCCCATTAATGGTCACATCTTGGGAGAGTCAGCCAAACAAGCATCTTTGTTTGATTTCCCAGCTTTTTTATTTTTATTTTTTTGCAAATATTCATTGCCTCACAGAGTCTTTGGCACTCAAAAATATTTGTTAACTGTCTAAACTCCCCCTGTGGCATCACTCATGTTATTGTACAACTATTTATTCATTTTAGCTGTGCTAAAGAAATTTAGTTCACAAACACTCCAGGCTCATAGGCCTGAACAGTAATTGAATCCACCATAGTCAGTGGAAATCTAATCTTCCTCTCTTAACACTAGAAATAATGAATATTTAGATGTACCATAATCAACATAACATATGTATATTAACATATGCTTATTGCTTATAAATTTATCCACACTTCTATCCACATCTTTCTTTGCATATCATCAGTATGTAATTGTGGAGAGTTAAAAAAATATGTCTCCTATCTCCTCATTCAGATTTTTTTTCTGATAGCTACAATGAAGAACAATGAAAAGCATCTGCAGAAGAATGGATCACGTCACTCCTATTAAAAGATCAATCTTTAGGAAAGGCTCTGAGCCTCATCTGGTTGATCAAAGACCAAGTTGAAAATGTGATAGAAAGGATGCAATTCTGAAAATGTGTGGTCACTTGCATCTAGGTATACAATGTACTAAGAATCCTCATAGGATTTCTTGTGAAAATATGTGGATAGTACAAATAAGATTCTGAGCAGATTTTGCATAAATTATATTCAGGCACTCAGACAACACCCTGAAGCATACATGTACACACTCCCGTGTACATACACATACTGAACATATGAATTCTCATCTTAGGTATTTTTCTCAAGCAAACATTGCATCACATTAGCCTTATTTTTCTTTAAACTGGTGGCAGCAGGGAGAGAAAACCAGCCTAAGGACTCATTTTATATTACTGAAAGTGGGATAAAGTGCAGTCTCCAGAGGAAAGCACACATTGCCATGGTAACCTGCTCTAGCCCGTCACAGCGGGTATTCCTGGGATAAGAAGATGACACAAGAGGTCGGTGCAGCCACAGTTTTTGTGGATATTGTGATCCTTGCAGTCACAAAGTAGCTTAACAGGTGGCCCAGATTCTGAGGTTTATCTCCTGCAACTGAGAAGCAGATCCTAGCTGGGCAAGGAACAGGCCATCTTTGTTCTTCCTTGTTTTGTTATGTGATGCCTTTGGCAGCAGCTTCTGTTTGTGAATGGAAGAATTCTCACTTTAAAAAAATAAAACAAATCACCCCCGTCATCTGTCAGCAGCAGTCACACTGGGATAAACCTAAGATTCCAACGTGGGAGTAGAAAAGCCGTTTTTGTTCTATTGGCAAAGAAGCACTGGATTCAAAGAGAGAATCATTTTCATGTAAGGATGACACGGGTAGTAGAAAAAAAAATTCATATGGAATGTTTCCTGGAGGATTTGGCTCTGGCATCTGACATAATGTGCAAAAAGCCAACATCAAGGCCAAAGGCAAATGTTAAGAATGGAAAAAACTTTTTTTCACATAATGAACTATATAAGTACTATAGTTCTTCCAAGGAACAAGCTCCACTTCTGCTGTGTTTCAGTCTGATGAACAAAACTAAACAATCAAAGACACTAAGCAATGACTTTATCTGTATTTGCTTCCATCACATTTATGCCCAGGATTTCAGAACTAGCAATGAATCTGCTAGCTACACAACTTCAACCTTATTGTCTCTATAGTTTCCCCAAAGGAACCTAACCTCTGCAATTGACTAGACAGCACAATATACTTGAAATGGAACATACCAGAACTGTATCTTTAAAAAATCTCTATTTTATTTGTAAGAAATAATGATGACATGATTGCACAAACGAATCATATTTGCATTTATGTTTAGGAAATAAGAAAAGCTGGGCAATAAAAATTACAAGAGGAAGAGTGAAAAAAAATCTGTTTTCTTTCTGACCCCTATTCTTACCTTTGAAATTATCCTTTATTGCATTCTTTTTGTCATGTTGGGATTTCAGTTACAAATCTTAGCCTATGTTCTGATTTCTTACTAATAGGGAGAAGGGTTGGCCCTGATATTTCCAGATTTATATTTAGAAGCTTGTATTTGAAAAGATGAAATAGATGAAAGACAGATTTTAAAAAATGATGGGTGGATTTTAAGTTAATCCCAAAGACACTAGAGCAGTGGTTCTCAACCTTTTTAATGCCGCGACCCCAACCGGTCGTAAGTCGAGGACTAAACCAGTCATAAGTCGAGGACTAAACCGGTCGTAAGTCGAGGACTTTCCCTGCCCGGGAGCGCCGCACATGCGTGGTTTTGCCCCCTGTGCTGGCCGAGGCGTAACTGGCAAGTGGCAGAGACGGAGCAGGCCGACCACCAGCTGGCCCAGCCCAAGGGAGGTAAGGCACCCACTGGAAAAGGGAAAAAATGGCGGGAAAAAAATGGCGGACAAAAAAAATGGCAGACAGCCTTGCTTGGCGACCCCCATGAAATGGTCGATCAACCCCAAATGGGGTCCCGACCCACAGGTTGAGAACCACTGCACTAGAGCTCTTTGGAAGTACAATGAGGTACTAAAAAGTTAGGGCATGGAGAATGCACTAATCCTATCTGAGAAGAGTCCTCATTATATTATTGGGAAACTGTGCCTTCAGCTATGATTGGAAAGTCTATAGACTAAAATATTTAGCATTCTTGTACTGATGTCCAGAAACTTCTATGAACCTCCACATTACACAGTGTCTTGCATCTCATCAACTTCCTATTGTACAGTCTGTATTCTATGTATCCACAGCCTATATTGTGAATATAGGAATGTATAACATCTTTGTTCTTGTACTGCTGCTATTAATATGAAGTGTGACTAGATGCAGTGCAAAGAATTCAGAAAAAGGTTGTACCAAATTCACATGTAAACAGTTTCAGATCTGCTGTTGAACTAGAACTCGAAGGATAAGTAGAGCAGAGCCTATATACCCTTCTTCGTATGCATGTAACCAGAGTACCTATGCATAAGATCAAAATAATACAAGATATACATGGCAGTGCAATGTACATTAGGGAAATTGTTCCATCCAGTAATATAATACAATAGTTAGAATTTGTAATATGCAAACCCATAGAGTATTTTCCCCAAATGATATAAAGAATGCAGCATTACTGCTACAGGTTCTAATATGACAAATAGCCCTAATAATTTTAATGGAACTTAATTATTCAGCTATTAATTCTAGTAGTGTCACTGAAGCTTCTTTGTTGGTATGAGTAGAATTGTTTAACAAAAAGATGCCTAAGTGCTACTGATGAAACTAAAAGAATCCCAATCAAAATTGGAAGATGATTAAAAATGTAAAAAAAAAAATAGGAAATTAATAATACATGCACATGTATCACATATGAAAAAAAACCTTGCATGCATCCAATTTAAATAGAAATTTCTTCATCACCTGTGAAGACTTCCTAGATATGATCCAGGCTATTAGGTGCAGCCAGAACACTTTCGACATTAACAGAAAATGGTTCTTAGTAGTTGTTAAGAAGCCATATTGAAGGACAATCAAACTACATTAGTAATTGTGGCATAAACATGCATTGTGCTTTCTGGGGATGAAATGTCAGTAGAGAATTCAAGGGAAATAAAGATCCTTTTGAGAAAGTCAGAATAATCCAGGATGGCACACAACCTGGAGAAAGGGCAGAATTGTTAGACAGATGGCACATACAATCCTTTTCTTTTCTGTTAAAAGTTTAAAGAAAATAAATTTTTAAAGGAAAAAAAAACAGCTGAACGTATATTATATTTCTGGCTTGTGTTTTAGAAGATAAATAAAGAATGTATTTTCCTACAGAACATGCCTTTTGTTTTAATTCACTACTATGTGGAATTAAGAGCTCTGAAAATTTCCTGCAGAAATGCCACAAAAAGGAAAGATTTCTTCAATGTCTGCATGAATAGATCTCTAAAAATACACAATAAATTGAAGTGACTACAGCTGAGGTTAAGCAATCATTTATTAGGGGTTAGGCTATGCTGCCACAACCAAGAGGGAACCTATTTTTGCAAAAATGATAAGACTATATACTTGTGGTGTCATGAAGCATGCTGTCTGAAATGCATGATTGTCCTCAGAGGTAGACATATAGAGGTATTAGAAGCACACACCAACAGAAGGGACCCATCCCTACCTGCCCAGTTAGGCCATATGACATCATGACATTCCGCTTAAAAAAAAAGAGAATTCTCTGACACCAAAGAGTCATAGAATGTGAGAATTGGATGGTATCTTAAAAATAATATAGATCCAGTGCTAGAATTCACTACTGCTGCAACTCTGTCAGGTAGCCATCCATCCCATCTTAAAATACTTCCAGCAAAGGAGAAACCTTTACACCCGTCTGTTCTGTTATTGTACAAGTCTTACCATTTGGATTTCTTGAGCCTGGTCACAGTCTCCACATTGTAATTTAAATCCATTGCTTCTCATCGTATCTTCTAGAACAGTGGTCCCCAACACATGGTCCATGGACCGGCACTGGGGTGCGGCATGCCAAAAACCGGGCCGTGCAAACAAGCAAAGCCCCATCTGCAGGATGCAGGCAGTACACAAAACCACATCCTCTCCGGTTCCACAGAAAAATCTATCTCCACAGAACCAGTCCCTGGTGCCCAAAAAGTTGGGGGCCACTGTTCTAGAACAACTCAGCACTTCTGTTCCATCTTATACATGATAGCCTTTCCATTTCTTGAAAACAGCTATCGTATCTCCCCAGAGTCGTCTCTTCT